GAGACGATAACTCTCCGACCTCGGGGCTGCCACTTTTTGAGCAAAACGGGAATGAATCGTTCGTTCGTGTGTGTGTGTGTGTGTGTGTGTGAGAGAGAGAGAGAGAGAGAGAGAGAGAGAGAGAGAGAGAGAGACGGTAACTCTCCGACCTCGCTGCTCGTGCATGCTACTTCCATCGATAGGATGAGCAACATCCAATGAATCTTCGGCTAGAACATGGAAATATACATACCTGGTTGAATATGGCCGACCGCGTAACCAACCACGAATACAAAGCGCCCCGCGCCAACCCAAAAAAAAAAACGGCCGCCCGCAGGCAACCCGACTCGACCCCCCCAACACCAACCCAAAAAAAAAAACGGCCGCCCGCAGGCAACCCGACTCGACCCCCCGGCCTCACCGAACCGGCACGCAGTCCGCCCTTGGGCCTACCACGAGTCCCACACCAGGGAACCGGGTCTCGCGCAGGACCATCACGCGAGACCCGCGTTTTCCTTTATATGTATAGAGATATGAAACGGTATTCACCAATTCGCAGTAGCTGCTGCAGATCCCAGGGCTCAATCCCTAGTCCCCCCTTACCTGTGTACAGTATCTGTGTCGACCCTTAGAGTTGAACCCGTGACCTGTGTATGTGTAACAGCTGGTAGGTTGTCGTAGGGTCTATAGGTAGCAGAGGTTTGATCTGTAGACCTGTTGAATAGGAGTCCCAGTCAGGTCTAGCAGTCGTAGCTGTAGCTGTCTCGAAGGGTCAAGGTTGTAGCTGCTACAGTCTAGAAAGGTCAAGGTCGTAGCTGCTACAGTAACGAAAGGCCAAGTCTACGGCTATCCGGAAGGTCCTAGTAGTGGCCTTTTGAAGTTGCCCACGTTTAGGCTGAGGCAAGTGGGCAAGTGGGCAAGTGGTGGAGTCTACCCGTGCTGAGTCAACAGTCCCAGTCCTAGGCAGTCCTGGTCCAGTCAAGCAAGTACCGCATGGGACTGTGTGCACTACGGGCATGGGAAAGGGGCCAGACCAATGAGCTGCAGCGCCCAGTCATTCATTCATTCCTGAGTGAGCCATGCGGAAGCGCTGCCACAAGCGACTTGTGCGAGGTGGTCTGCAGTGAGCCCGAGGAAGAAGTGGGCGAGAGAGGAGTGTAGCCATAGCGATAGGGTAGTAGCGGCCGTAGCCGCCATAGCTGTAGGTAGAGTTCAGTGTATGTGTGTGTGTGAGTTCAGAGTATCGTGTGTGGGATATCCAGGGTGATCCTGTGTATGCGAACAGAGAGTTGTGTGGGCGCTGAGTCGCCATAGCCATCGAAGTGAACTTGAATCTGAACTGTGTTCGCGACTACCATATCTCTGGGTTCTGAGTGGGCGCTTGTCGCCAGTTTGCTGTGCACCTGTTTGCATGCATAAGAAGAGTGAATGAGAGTGAGTCTGATTGCAAATACGATTTCAGAGATGGTAAGGTCTGGGCATATATCTGCTGAGTGTTCATTGTTCTGTGCGCCTGGTTTGCCGATTTGCCAAGGGAGGAAGGCATACCACGGGCAAACTAGAGGGGGTCACAATGACAACCTATCGAGGGGGGAATAGTCTACGTGGCGAGAACAGGATTGCTATGGTTGACATTGGCCAAGTTGACATCGTCTCTGAGATTTAACGTCCTGATGAAGGGGAGGACAGGAGTCACTCAAGATTTAGGAGGCCAGTTTAGCTGATTTAGCTGTGTCTTCAGATCTGACCAGTCGCGTTCCTCAAGTTGTGCCGGAAACACGCCCCGGTGACACGGGCGCCCGGGCACCCAAGTTGTTAGAAGTATTTCCAACGTTGTTTTCCCGGGCGCCCGGGCACCCAAGTTGTGCCGGAAACACGCCCCGGTGACCGGCCGGGCATGAACCCTGGGCAGTCCCAGCACCAAAAAAAAAAAAAAAAAAAAAAAAAAAAAAAAAAAAAAAAAAAAAAAAAAAAAAAATTCCAGATTATATATATGTTGTGTAGGATTGCAATACGAACAACTTTTGGCTGAGGGTCACATCAGAATTCCTCACAGAACTGAAGATAAAAAAGAAAATAACCGAATCACACCAAGGCACCCCCCTTTAAACCCTTTAGCCTCTTTGAAAACGACTTATACCCCCCTTGCTCCCCCCTTTAAAGCCAACACTCGAAAAACAAAAAGAGCCCGGATTTGGGCTCCTCTCTGAGAGCGCGGAAAACCCCCACCGCCAAATTTTTTATTTTATTTTTTCTTTTTTTTTTACCCATGCCCGGGTGACCGGCCAGTCATGAAAATATTCCTAGGTATTTTCCCTATATCTTAGCTTTTTCCTACTGTTCCCTACTACTCGTCGTGGAACCCATCTGGCTACAGTTCTTCATCTTGCGAACTATGCGGTGGAAGGTGAAGAAGTGTAGATGGGGTTATAAGGAAGAGCGAGGGCGGGCAGGGCTCTGGTAGGGCTCAACAACTTCTTTATCTTGCGAACTATGTGGTGGAGGAGGTCGGCTCGTCGCGATAGGAAGAAGACTCATCGTGGGGTTGGTTTTGGGGAGACTATGAGGTATTTCGTGAGTGGCGGGTCTACCATCATCATCATCACTATTAGTATCATTATCTCTCATTATCATTATCATTGTCATCATCATCATTATATGAGGGACGCTGGGCCCGGTTCCCAGCAGGTTCTGTCTGGTTACCCCAGGTAGACTACCCCGGCCTCATTTTTCTCAGATATTAATATCAGCCTTGGGCACTGGGTCGGTAAAAACAAAAAAAAAAGAAAAAAAAAAAAGAAGTGGGAGGCAAGAACATTTCAAAGGACAATAATGTATCCTACTATCCTGCAAAAATGTATACTGCCCTAGGAAGATTGTCACGCCCGGCCAGGCACCCGGGTGTGACGACCGCGGTACCCGGGCGAGCATAAATTAATTTTCATTCTATTTTTATTGTTTTTTTTTGTTTTCTGCGCTCTCCCAGAGGACCCCAAATCCAGGCTCGTTTCTTTTTATGAGAGTTGGCTGTCAAGGGGGGGGAAGGGGGGTCTAAATTGGTTTTAAAAGGGCTGAAGGGTTTTGAAGGGGGTGCCTTAGTGTGATTCTGTTTTTTTTTTTTTTTTTTATCTCCGATTCTGTGACGAGTTCTGATGTGACCCTCAGACAAAAGTCCTCTGTATTGCAATTCTACACGACATATTTTCTTTCCGTTTTTTTTTTTTTTTTTTTGCACTGGGGCTGCCGGGAACCCTGCCAGAGGGGGTCGTTCCCGGCTGGGCACCTGGGCGTGTATCCGGGCATAAATTGGGTGCTCAGGTGCCTGGAAAAACAGCCTAGATACTGCCAGTATAATTATCCCTCGGCAGGCCACTCTATCTGGGGTCTGCATGAGCCCCTATTGCTTAATAATCCGCACACTCCACGTTGCTCAAGTACTACGCACCTCTTGCGCCTTGAAGACATAAAAGTGTGCAGGTAGTTCCAGCAAAATGCAGGCCCACAACGACCAATACATAAATATGCCTGGCTGACAAACGCAAACCACGCCTGGACTTTGGGCGCAGTGATTGCCAACAGATTTGCACCTATCCTCGTTCACATCTGGTCAATTATAAAAAGTCTGAAAGAGAGTTGACCAAACATGGCACTGACAATTTGCTCAAGGCACATACAGGGCATAAATCTTTTTCTTTAACAGCACGTCCTCTCTTTTTTGTGACATGCATGAAGTGGATGATGATCGTTACCTTTCGTCAAGAATTTGGAATTGGTCCTCTTCACACATCTGCTCCTCTTGCCTCGAGGTATTTGAGACCTGGCATCTGTATAGCCTTACATGAAAAGTCAAAAAACAGCAAAGACTTCTTAGTATCAAATGAAGTAAATCGAATTCCTCTCATTCGTAAAGTTTGGAATTCTTCAAAGAAAAGACTGAGCGACCAAAGGGGATCAGCTTGGTAGCCACAAATTGCAGAGAATGGATGAGAAAACATCTCTCTCATACCTTCAAGGAAAACGCGGTCCGCGCGTGACAGTCCGACTGGGCCCAGCAAAAAAAGGGCAGGGAGTTCCACGCGGGGGCAGCAGGGGACCGAGGAGGGCGCATCGGTTCGCGTGAGCCGTATTTGCGAAGAGCGTCGTGGTGGCGTGCAGGGGTGTCGGTTCGTGCGTTCCGCGCGGGGTGCCGCAGGGGACCGAGGAGGGCACGTCGGTTTGCGGGGGCCGTATTTGCGAAGAGCGTCGTGGTGGCACGTGGGGGAACTTCGTGGGGGCGGGAGCCGTATTGCAATCCTACACAACAGATTTGCACCTATCCTCGTTCACATCTGGTCAACTATAAAAAAGTCTGAAAGAGCGTTGACCAAACATGACACTGACAATTTGCTCAAGGCACATACAGGACATAAATCTTTTTCTTTAACAGCACGTCCTCTCCTTTTTGTGACATGCATGAAGTGGATGATGATTGTTACCTTTCTTCAAGAATTTTGAATTGGTCCTCTTCACACATCTGCTCCTTTTGCCTAGATGTATTTGAGACCTGGCACCTGTATAGCCTTACATGAAAAGTCAAAAAACAGCAAAGACTTCTTAGTATCAAATGCAGTAAATTGAATTCCTTTCATTCGTAAAGTTCGGAATTCTTCAGAGAGAAGACTGAGCGACCAAAGGGGATCAGCTTGATAGCCACAAATTGCAAAGAATGGATGAGAAAACATCTTTCTTTTTTTTAAAGGAAAAAGCGGTCCGCGCGTGACGCTCCCAGTGGGCCCAGCAAAAATCGGGCGGGGAGTTCTGCGCGGGATGCCACAGGGGACCGAGGAGGGCGCGTCCGTTCGCGGTGGCCGTATTTGCAAAGAGCGTCGTGGCAGCGCGCGGGGTATCGGTTCGTGCGTTCCACGCGGGGTGTCGCAGGGGACCGAGGAGTGCGCATCGGTTTGTGGGGGCCGTATTTGCGAAGAGCGTCATGGTGGCGTGTGGGGGTGCTGCAGGGGACCGCAGAGGGCGCGTCAGTTCGCGGGGGCTGTATAGTGTCATGGTTGTGCGTGGGGGTGTCAGTTCGTGGCGGAAATTCGCGGGGGAGGGGGGCGTATTTGCGACGACGGTGGTGGTGGTGCGCAGGGGTGTCGGTTCACGGGGGAAAATCGCGGGGGCCGAGGTCAAGGGTGGTGCATGCGAGGTTGTGTAGAGGCCCGGGGCGCGTCAGTTCCGAGCGGGAGGAGGAAGGAGGGAAGAGCAGGAGAAGCAGCGGTAAAAGGAGGAGGAAGGTTGGGGGGAGCTGCAGGAGGGGGAGCGGGAGAAGGACGATCCATCATCTGTTGTTGTTAAGCGGTGTGAAAGGGAGGATGAGAGAGAGAGAGAGAGAGAGAGAGAGAGAGAGAGAGAGAGAGAGAGAGAGAGAGAGAGAGAGAGAGAGAGAGAGAGAGA